CTCCCGTCCATAAGTTTGGAAACCGGACGTTTCTTTGGATCACTGGAGAGGTTAAGCAAATACGGTTTTTCAAAACGTATACGTAAACGCAAAGTACATTGAATCAACATAGGATTGTATCGCTTTAGTCTACTTCAGATACCCGTTCAACTTCAAAGTTGCGTGTTTAGAACGGGAGATTTTAAATTTCACGTTGCTATCAACGGGAATCATTATACTCATGTCTGTTGAATACTATCCTTGCAATTTTGATTTCGATGCAGAGTATAATTCTTTCTGAAGAAGATGATGTATGTTACGCATGTTTTAACTCCAATAATCTTACGAAACGAGCTCGTTTAAAATATGAATTAGAAAACCAGCTATTGAACTTCATCAATGGCATACTATGTAATCATTACAAGCTATGGTGTAGTCTAAACAAACACTAGAGCTGAACAGCTATTTATGTGTGAACTCTACATGTATTTGTATAGGGGCGATTGATACGTTTAAGTTGCGTTTTGGATTTTATACGGTAGCTTAACCTCTCCACTTATTAAATCAAACCCTGTTTATGTTTGGCAATTTAAAACTTAACAATAACTATTTTAGAACTATTGTAACTAGGATACATTTTTTTCTTTTCTATTCATTTTTATTAGATCGACAACAATGTTAATTTTAATCAATTTTCAACTATTGTATTGCATGTTATCATGTTATACGGATGAATGAATGCATATATTATTTAGAAGAATAAGATTCGCACATGGACAGGCATTGATAATGATATCCAATAAAAACTACCAACCTTTTAGGAGTAGTGTACTTTTGCACCTTCATATTTTCAAATATAATATAAAATCCTACCTCTATAATTTGGGAAATAATCAGACAGCTTAAATTGTGATATCTTCTGTTCAAAAATGTCTTTCTTGTTGAGAAAAAGTATCAATTCAGTTGTTTTGAAGTAGCCGCTGTTTGTAATCGACGAGAACAACATGAGACTCTCCTTCATTCTATTCTGAAAGTATATAAGTACTTATACATTACATTACATTATAATATAATAAAACGCTATATGTGACAAAACTATTTCAACCACAAAAAACTTTTTAATATTTTAACACCTTTAGGACCGGCCAAAAGTGTTTGGATTAGCAAATGTCCACATTTTAAGTTTTTATTAAAATTTAATTCAACAGAATATGACAAATTTGGAACCGGGAAAAATGATCACATTGAAAGATGTTCAGATAAGAGAGGTGTTAATATATAGGTTTCTCTTTATATTTATCTGTTATCTATAGACCAACTTTCATCGACCTCCTTGTGACATAATTATTAATTATAGGCATCAGTATCCAGGTAGGCTTGATTTATCATATTCCAGACAATTAAAACATTATGCAATATAATTATGTCGTGTAACATATAATAGTCATTCTATATTTCAGTGATAATGGTGACTGTTAAAACCATTTTATAATTTCAGGTTGGTCTTAGAATCTTTTGATGTGATGTCATTTTTATCCATGAGATATCAATATCTTTAAGTAATCTGATTCGGACCTGAGTTGACTTATGTATGTATAAATTACGATCTAAGTTGAATAAAGTCTGAGTTGATTAGGTATAATCCGAGTTGACTTAAAGGTCTCATTTTATTTTATTTAGATCTGTGTTGGTTAAAGCTGACTTGTATCTCAGGTGATGTGTCATGACGAATGTGGTTGAAACAATTTACCGCGAAATACGATTTTGTAGATAAAAATGTAACCATTGCTTTCAAAATCGAGTTATTCACTCTTATGTTGAGCCAATTGCATGATTTAGGCTATTTTCATCAATTTTGAAAAGGGTATAATATCACTTGCAATACAGTGCAAACAATAAAGTGTTTGGGGATTAAAACTTTTCAACCCGAATGTAATATATTTATTTAGTTAATTGATTAATTAATTACTGGGTTAACATTTTCAGTTATCGATATTCGGTCTCACAAATGCATTTTAATCAATTCCTTGAATATGTAACGAATAATATTGCAGTGTTCTTTCCTCGAAAATGTCATTTTGTGAAGTTGAATAAACTTAAAATCCCTATTTGGCTATTTGAATGCTTGCGAATGAGAAACTAATGTTTATTTCCACTTCAGCCTTTGTAGTAGTTTGCAACAACAAATTTTCGATTTAGCGCCTGAAAAACTTGGCACACGGTACGTCATGGTCAGGTGACCTCAAAAGTGCGCAAAATAACATTTCAGAGGTTGACAGTCTTATCTTAATAAATTGCGTTGTGTGGGGAAATATCACAAGCTTTGTAGTCAACATAACAAAAAGGATGCTATTTGTGCTTAAAACAAGATAATAAGAGATTCTTTAATTGGTTTTAGTACAACTTAAAAACCGGTTGGAAAGGATGTCAGTTCAAAGTTCAAACCAAAGGATAAAATAAAAAATAAAAACGTTGTTCAGTGTGGAAGGTAATTTTATAAAAGTGGTTGCCATTGAGAGTCAACCATCTGAGAGTTTCAAACCCTATTAAATTGGCTCTTTGGCACATTTGGCGAATCAAAATCAATTGTCTCTGTTCACCATTTGCAAAACGCCAAACAAATAGATAACAGTAAGTCGAATTAAAAAGTCTATTAAACAATTTTAAGTCTATTTCCCTTTGGCACTAGTCTATTTCCCTTTGGCACTAGTGCTTATATATCTACCTAATGAAAGTCCAAAAAGCATGTGTTTGGAGCATTAGAATTTATTTGTCACAATATACTATTTAAAACTGCATGTACTACAAAGGGCTTTGTTCTACAATAGATCTGTATACAAGGAATCACATTTAATAAATCAGAACGGCAACCCCTTGGCAAATTGATACATCCAAATTAAGTTGGGCCAAATAAAAGACAAGTTCAGTAATTCAAGACAAATTTAATTTAGGAGCTCCTACACGTCACACGTTTGGCCATGGATGTGTGACGCCCTCGTCATGATAAATCAGTTGCAGAGACTGACGTACATGTAAATGTAGCTACTGAAAGAACAAGTCTTGTTCCAAAACATGTGATGAGTCGGTGTAACTACAATAATAATACCATCTGACTAAGAACAATTTCCTGTATTTCCCTGCCAGTAATCGCATTACAAGTGCGTTATGAATTAAAACCATCGGAAGTGTGATATCAATATTATCATGCCCATGATATTATACTACTATTGTTTTCCAGTTTTCTATTTGACATTTGTCTGCTTGATGAAGATGTACAAAATGTGTCTCTTGTTTGTAACATTATTCTTGGAAATTCTGGAATATGATTCTTAATTATAGTTTTGTTTTGAAGTCACAATCCTTAAACAGAAGCATTCTCATATATGTCCCCTGGAGTAATATCCGTCACGTTTTTGATCATATATATTACAATACAAGGGACTGCACATGGTTACAATATAGTGAATCATTAGAATGTAATTACCATTCACTTTGTTTATTCAGGTTGTTTTCATGGTTGTTACAGAATGTTGTCAGGGTTGACACAGGTTGTTTTTATGTTTGTTACAGAATGTTCTCAGGGTTGACATATGTTCTCATGGTTGTTACAGAATGTTGTCAGGTTTGACATGTATTGTTTACATGGTTGTTGCAGAATGTTGTCAGGGTTGACATGTATTGTTTACATGGTTGTTGCAGAATGTTGTCAGGTTTGACACAGGTTGTTTTCATGGTTGTTACAGAATGTTGTCAGGGTGTTTAGTGCCTGTAACAAATGGCAGGTGGTGACATTTTGCCTGTCAATGCCTTGTTATAGAATGTTTTCAGGGTTGTCACATCTTGATGAACTGATTTTTATGGAATGTTGTCCATGTTTTAATGAATGTTCTCAGGGTAATTGTCATGGTTGTTATAAACGTTGACATGTTTGTTACAGAATGCTGAACATGGTTGTCACAGAATGTTGACTTAGTTGTCACAGAATGTCGGACATGGTTGTTATAAACTGTTCTCAATGTTATTACAGACTTTTTGTATTTTATCAAGGTTTTTACAAGTAAGGTTGTTTCAAATTTGAAATTTTGTCAGGGTTGTTACAGCCTGATGGCAAAATCTGACCAAAAATAGACAAAATCCAACAATCAAATATTCTGTATTATATTGAAATAGAATGTAAATACATCTGTATTTATTTAACTATATTTACAAGCTCTGATATGTGAAAATAAATTAATATAACATTACAATTACATACCTTTTGACTGAAACAATCAATATCGTTTTTTACATAATTCTTCATTTACAGATTTTTATGATAATACATCTGTACATATTGTCTATTATCTATCCATTTGCTATTTATTTTAATTGTTTCCGTAACCATGGAGATATTTTTTCATTCTTTTAATGTTTTATTGGATAAAATTAAAATTAACAAATTAAAAAAAACATTGACATCATGCATTTTGGAAAGATTACATATAAAATTTTATACTCTCTCTGGTCAATATTTATACAGTTTATTAAACAGTTCATAGTATAAAAAGCAACATGTATATACAGCAATTGTATAAGGTTTATCATTCATATTAAAAAAAAACTACACGAAACTTCATGTAAAGAATCCCTATCTAAGAAATGGTTTCTCAAGTCCTTGACAACTCAGACCCTAATCAACTCATACCTTTTTACAATATTGGATTTAGTCAAATTAAAAATAGAGTTACAGATCGATGTTTCGCTTTTCTACCTTATTCTGTTCTATTGAGTTCAATAGGGATTGAGATGATTTAGGTATGAGTTGACAAGGGTCTGATTTGACTGAGATATGAGCTAACTAAAGTCTTAATTGACTAAAGTATGACTTGATTATAGTAGGGTATGACTTGACTCGGGTATGCGTTAGTGTGATATGAGTTGACTAGGGTCTGAGTTGATGGATTAACTTACTTTTTATGGCAAACTCATTTAGATATAAATGGAATAGTGGCAGGTACTATTCATATATAAATAAGTTGGTCATAAAATAGTAGGTTTACCCGGCAGCCGACAGCTGAAAGTTGCATTCGCGAATATAAGGTGAGCGAACTGATGTATGAGTTGATTGGGTCTCAGGTGACTGAGGTATGAACTAACTAGAGTCTGAATTGACTAAGTTATAACTTGACTCGGGTTTGACTCCGACTTGATTGATGTATGAGTAGTTTATGGTATTAGTTGAGTGAGATGTGAATTGACTCGGGTATGAGTATACTGGGGTATGAGTTAACTAGAGCCTGAATTGACCGGAGTATGATTTGATTTGAGTCTGAGTTTACTAAGGTATGAGTTGACTGAGGTATTAGTTGACTAGTGTCTGAATTGACTCATGTATAATTTGACTTGAGTCTGAGTTTACCAAGGTATGAGTTGACTTTTTGGTATGAGTTTACTGAGGTATGACTTGACTAGGGTCTGAGTTGAATAAAGGTATGAGTTGACTAGAGTCTGAAATGACTAGAATCAGAGTGGACCTTGGTCTGTCTTGACTTTCATCAACGCTGTTTTTGTGCAATATATATTCCTTTCTGTATAAAGTTCATTTCATATTTGCAGTTGAATAATTTCAGCACCTCTGTAAATCATTTTCAGTATATACATTGGTGATAATAATAATTTCATAAAAAATATAGCTTAGAGATTGTTTCTCCATGAAGCCCAAATGTGCTATCATTAGCCATATACAGTGTGTCCATAAAGTCTCTTGGCAATAACAATAAAAATATTTCATGAACATCCTGTATTGGTGTGATTTTGCATCCTTAAAAGGGAGCTTCATCTACACTCTTTCAGAGAAACATTCATTCGATCTGACATTGACCAATCAGAAGTAGATCAAAATATGGCTACCCATTTAGAATTGAGAATTGCATTTTCTGCTTTCATTTCTTTTTCATTCAAATTCCGATAAGTCTGCAGCAGCTAGTCTTGGGTTTATCAATAGCATGAACTGTCTAACCAAGCCAGAGCCTCGAGCCAAGGGTAGTCAGTTGCAACTTCATTGTTGCAATGGCTGTAGGTAACATTTATGAGTCACAATAACATCCCAGCAGCTTCTAGATTGTTCCTTAACACACTCGCCATGGAAACATTGAAAACAACTTGGATATTTTTAGTGTCTATTGCAGTAGTATAATGTGTGTAAACCAACTTTTTAGGTGGGAGGTTGCCTTCGAAAAGATCACGTATGAATGCAGCCGCTTCTTTGAAATTATTCCCTCCTGAAAATACAGATAATCTTTAAATGTATTTAATTCAATATGTAACATTAGGAAGACTGATGATATTTTAAACTGACCTTCCTGCCTGACTTGTAATAATAATGATGATAATGAAAGGTATTTTAGGCGTTTTTGATATTAGAATTAGATTGACATTTCGATCAACATAGTTATTGATACATATATTGACATTTAGACAAAACCTTTTCCATATTCAAATTCGAAACGATTCAAGTTGTAACATTCAATTAAATATTAGATAAATTAAATATTAAATACACACATTACTTGACTGAGTAAAGCATGAAGTCCTTTGAATGAAGGAAGAATATACACTCCCCTCCATAAGTTTGGCAACCGGATGCTTCTTAGGATCACTTATTAAATCAAACCCAGTTTGCGTTTGGTAATTTAAAAGGATTAGTCAACGGTAACTAATTTTAGAACTATTGTTACGAGGAAACAATTTTTTCTTTTCATTTTTATAAGATCGACAACAATGATAATTTTGGTGGAGCCAACATACAACATAACTATCGTGTTGCATGTTATCATGTTATACGGATGAATGAATGCATATATTATTTAGAAGAATAAGATTCGCACATGGACAGGCATTGATAATGATATCCAATAAAAACTACAGATTGCCTTTTAGAAGGAGTGTAATTTTGCATCTTCATGTTTGCAAATATAATATAGAATCCTACCTCTATAATTTGGGAAATACTCAGACAGCTTAAATTGTGATATCTTCTGTTCAAAAATGTCTTTCTTGTTGAGAAAAAGTATCAATTCAGTTGTTTTGAAGTAGCCGCTGTTTGTAATCGACGAGAACAACATGAGACTCTCCTTCATTCTATTCTGAAAGTATATAAGTATGATACATTACATTATTATATAATAAAACGCTATATGTGACAAAACTATATCAACGAAAAAAAAACTGTTTAATATTTTAACACCTCTAGGTCCGGCCAAAAGTGTTTGGGTTACACAGGCAAATTACAACAGACCCCGTACAAGCCCCTACGAAGCTCGTTGACTAAAGTCTGAGTTGATTAGGTATAATCTGAAACTAAAGTCTCATATTATTTAGATCTGTGTTATATAAGGTTAAAACTGACTTGTATCTCAGTTGACTAGGGCCTGCGTTTATTAGAATCTGAATCGACTAAGGTTTATCATGATTAGGGTCTGAGTTGATTAAAGTTGATTAGATAGAATCTGAGTTGACTATGATCAAGCTGATTAGGATCTGAGTTGACCATAGTCTAAGTTGGTGAGGTAAGATCTGAGTTGACTAAGGTCTGAGTTGATTAGGTAGAATTTGAATTGACTCAGGTCTAAGCTGACTAGGATCTGAGTTGACTAGAGTCTGGGTTGATGACTAAGTAGACTAAGGTTTGAGCTGACCTTTACATGTTCATTGTATAGTCATGCATAATTAAAACAATACTGACAAGAGTTCATGTAAAGGATGTCAGTACAAAGCTCAAACCAAAGGATAAAGTAAAGAAGAAAACGTTGTTTAGTGTGGAAGGTACTTTATGAAAGTGGTTGCCATTGGGAGTCAGCCATTTGAGAGTTTCAAACCCTATTAAATTGGCTCTTTGGCACATTTGGCGAATCAAAATCAATTGTCTCTGTTTCCCATACAGTCTATTAAACAATTTTACATAATGAAAGTCCAAGAAGCATGTGTTTTGAGCAGTAGAATTTATTTATAATATTATATTAGTACATAACATGTGACAATAAGCTATTTTGATTATTCAGTTTCGACAAACTCCAAACACAGCCTAGGAGTACATGTACTACAAAGAGCTTTGTACTACAATAGATCAGTATACATTTATCACATTTAATAAATCAGAAAGGCAACCCCTTGGCAAATTGATACATCCAAATTAAGTTGGGCCAAATAAAATACAAGTCCAGTAATTAAGTCACACGTTTGGCTTTGGATGTGTGACCCCTCGTGATGATAAATCAGTTGCAGAGACTGACGTAAATGTAGCTACTGAAAGAACAAGTCTTGCGCCAAAACATGTGATGAGTCGGTGTAACTACAATAATAATACCATCTGACTAAGAACAATTTCCTGTATTTTTCTGTCAGTAATCGCATTACATGTGCGTTATGAATTAGAACCATCGTCTGCTTGATGAAAATGTACAAAATGCAGTTTGTTTGTAATATTATTCTTTGGAATACTTGAATATGATTCTTAATAGGGTTGTTTTGAAGGTGCAATCCTAAATAGCAGCATTCTTATATATGTCCCCCGGAGTAATATCCGTCACGTTTTTGATCATATATATTACAATACAAGGAGTGACTTCACATGGTTACAATATAGTGAATCATTAGAATGTAATTACAATTCGTTTTGTTTACTCTGGGAAATGAAAGAGTGAAACTTTGCAGATAAGATAAGCATAGGGAATGCCAGTCATGTGCCAGACGAGACAGATTGTTTCAGAATCGCTTCTATGATAGATTAAAAACAAGGCATGACACGCAAAATGTCACTACCTTACATTTGTTACAGACACTGAAAGCCGAACACCAACCGCCGACCATTGTCCATAAAAGGTTAGAGGCTAAACAATATGTCACTACTGGTGACATGATAAAACCTTGAACGGTCTTTAGATTAGATAAATGTGCAGCCTATAGGTTTTCCTATATCACAAGTAAATACAACAACAAGGCTTCAGAGAAACCTCAGAACAGAAGGCCTTGTTCTAGAACAACGTCAGATTAAAATAACCGATGACAGATTTTCCAGCACATGAGGTCATTCTAACCTCATTCATCAACTGCACATTATTTAAAACATACTATTTCTTTACCTTTCTTTACAAAATCACTTAAAATAATGTAAAGCATTCGATGATTCGTTGTTTTTACAAGAATTAACATTGAGCAGATTAAATCCACTCCAAATAATAATTAATCTTGTTTCCACCTTGAGTGTTTTATTGCTTTTCTGTTATCTTTGACAAGTTATATTAATTTTGATATTAATAAAACAAATTGGAGTAGCCATAGTCCAGGCAAGGAGTGAGATGGCCGATATTTCAATTTATGTCCATACGTGTATACACTGTATTTCCGCCTGATATAAAAGGAATATCCTATGGTTTTGAAAAAATATCATTTATATTCATGAGTGGATATCGATATCTTCATGAGTGAGCGCAGCTTACCATGGAATAATATATAAATATTTAGTTTTATTGAGGTGAATACATGTGCATCTTTCACAATATCATATTGTGGAAGTGTCATAGGGTATTCACCGAAAATAGAAATAAATTTGTTTTTATTATTCACTGTTATTCGGTGAATACCCGTGACACTTTACAAGATAATATATTCCACTAATCAGAGAAACCAATCAAAGAGAGGGGAATATGTAAGTGATATGATCACACTACTATACCTAACTCCTAGAAATGCATAAGATACTTTGTTTGTCTAATTTCATTGTTTAATAAATTTTTGAAAGTACCTTATCAACATCTAACATTCAACCGATAAACCATTAATAAGGAACAGACAAATAAAAACAAATACATTATCATTACTAATAAGCCAAATAGGTTGCTCATGAACACCAAATGCAAGGTATAGTAGAGTGATGATAATCTCCATTCTGTTTTTGTTGCTTCAATTTTTTCAAGTTTAAATCGTAAAAAGATTAACAACTATTCAACTAAATATCATCGGAAAGAGGGGTAATCGTGTTATGGGACAATCTTGTATTTTGATTCTCACCCTTATAATTGCTATTGATCACTTAAAGCTCTGTTTCTGTGCTAATCAAATATATGGAATAACGAAAATGATGTTGATCATGTTGTAAGATAAAATACTAAGTAACACATTTCCGTGAGTTATCCAAAACAACAAAATAATCTTGCAGTCAACCTTGTATAATTCGAAAACAAGCTTTTGAAACTCTGAACATTTTATGTTCTATGTAGTATCCTGATACTTGGCAAACTTTTGTTTCTTTATGATAAACTATTTATTTCATGACATTTAAATTTACATGGAATGGCTTGGCAATCTTCTAATGGCGTGTTTAGGCTAAACTTTAAGATTCCTTAGAATTTAAAACAATTAAGAACAGCATTTTCTTCATTGTGACATAAAAAGAACTGGGGGTGTCTGACTAAGTAGGAGTTAGAAAGTGTCAAATCATTGGTACCATGAGGGCAAAAAGGGCGATGACGATAGAAACAATGGAAGGGATCAATTCTGTTTCACCAGAAACATGGACTGACATTATGAGTCATATTCGTTAAGATCCGCTCAGCATCTAGTGTAGTTGTTATCGTGTTATTATTGTATTTATTTGTCTCTAACACTAGATATTGTTATTAATAGTTAACAAATACACAGGTGATAAGATCTCAATGCTTTGTGATCCTTAATTAGATAGTTATCATGGCATTATATATTGCTCTCAGTATCCAGGTATTACATAAAGGACATTGGATTCCATTGTCATGGAAATTAACACGGATTTGGGTGATTTACTTCACAAGAATTGTGATGATGTTCAGGTGTGTTTAGCAATAAACATAATGGACTCTCTGATTGGTAGATGTCCTCCAGGTGACACAAATTATAAACAAATATTTGATCCTATGGTAATGCAATTTAATGAATCAAATACCTGCAAAATACCTGTATTGCATTATGATATACATGTATTTGTATGTTGTTTTAGTCTGTGATGTCATATAAAAACAATTTTCAGTTGCTCGAAAAAGATTTACAGAATAAATTTAAATTAAGCCTTGCCCAAGTCGGTATCTTTTTAATTATCTGATCTTGAATTTACCACCGGTCATAACAGAAATCAGGATAAGTAAAAGAGACCGACTTGGGCAAGGTTAATCTAAATTATGCGAAACTAAATCATTTTGTTATTCAAACATATAAACAACTACTTTTAGTTTTCGAGTCATGATAAAAAATATTTGAATGGTTAAACTTTGATTTCCAAACTTTGCACATATCAAAACATGGATAGGCTGATGTGTACTATCCAACATTGCTAAATTACTGAGTTACTTGGTTGACCATTCGTGCAATGATTCTCTACGTTTCTGCTTTAATTAGATTTTGTCACGTTTCATGCAAAAGCAATAAGTCAGATTAACTTTGATTAACGAGGTGCTTTAGAAAGTAGGACAAACATGATTTGTTTTGCTTCGACCTTGTGACAGACAAACCATTTTATCATTTCCCTTCGGGGAATCTAGAGACTTAAGAATTTTGTCAGTTATATAAAGTCAGTGGACGGTGTCCAATTATATTAATTCAAGAAGTCTTGGGACTTAGGGACTGCATCAAATTATATCAATTCAGGAAGTCTGCGGACTTGGGAACGGCGTCCAATTATATTTAATTCACGAAGTCTCGGGACTTGGAGACTGTGTCTAATTATAATAATTCGGGAAGTCTGGGACTTAGGAACGGTGTCAAATTATATCAATCCTTGAAGTCTAGGGACTTAGGAACGTTGTCCAATTATATTAATTCAGGAAGTCTTGGGACTTAGGGACTGTAACCAATTATATCAATTCAGGGGAAGCCTAAGGACTCTCTTAAATCAGAGACCTAGTTTCCAATTATATTAATTCTGGAATTCTAAGGACTTGGGAACGGTGTCCAATTATATTAATTCAGGAAGCCTAGTGACTAAAGAAATGTGTCCAATTATATCAATTCATGAAGTCTGGGAACATAGGGACTGTGTTGATTTATATCAATTCAGAAAGTCTGGTGATTTAGGAACTGTGTCCAATTATATCAATCCAGGAAGTCTAAGGACTTGGGAACCGTGTCCAATTATAAGTCTGAGGATTTAGGACTTGTGTCAAATCATATTAATTCACGAATACTGGGGACTTAGGGACAGTGTCCAATTGTATTAATTCAGTAATTCTCGGGACTCAAATGGAGAATCAGATCAATAGGGAGTGACAAAATTGCAAGCAACATGTACAATTGACCTACCAATATATAAAAGTGGTAAACATAAGAATAGAAACCAGCCTTTTGGGTCAAGATTGAGTGTTATATCAAAAGGTGTTCAGCTTATAGAGGTATTCAGATATACATCTTTCACTGTAGTTATTTTTCTAATGGTAAATAATAATGACTTACAATGGTTGCATCCTCCCGTAGAACTTGATTATAAGCACTCATTGCTGCAATGAAGAGCAATGCAGTTACATTGTCAAAACAGTGAATCCACTTCCTTCGCTGCGACCTTTGACCTCCGACATCAAACATTCTAGAAATAAACAAAGTCATACAATATGAGCTAAATATAAATTGATTGGGTTAGTCAAAAGCATAGTAAATTGAATATAAGGGTAGATGAAAATATATTTTAAGGTAGTATAAACTATCGAAACGGTATTTAAGGGGTATATAAAATATATAAAAGGGTATTCGGTTGGAATTAGAAATAGATAAGCGCCATTCATCTAAAAATCTTTTTTTAAGTTGACAGTAAAGTAATCTTGGATGTAAGGAACATAATGGTTTTATGTTAGATAAGAAAGTAAGCTTTTCAAATTGACAATATCAGGAAGAACATCTCTTTAATTACCCTTGCACGGAGAGAAGGTTCACAATTTTCCCATGAAGAACATTTATACTTGAAATTCATTTGAAAGTCTCAATGGTAAAAGGGCTTTTAACTACCCGTTGAAGAATTAAATACATCTGGCCTTAAAATCAACCATTGGAAACTTAAAATGCATATGACATTTGACTAACCATTGGAAATTAAAATGCATATGGTTACAATACCCGTTGAGAATCTAAATACATAGCCTATTTACAATCTTATAGTGTCTGTTCGATGCTCATGGGGTCAAAATACAGTTTATACAATAGTATTACATAACTCAAGCTGTCTAAAATCTTGTAACCAAAAGGCATTGAACCATGAGGTGATTTCGGTAAGCGTTACTCCTTTCTGATCAATCAGAACATAATATAACATAAACAATTTTAACTTGGCACTTTAGTTGCATAATGCATTGCCGTTAAAAGTCCATAACCGGTTCTGTTTGTGACGTCATGTTTTTTCCCGGGAAATCTTATTTTGCCACTAATGAACAAACGGAATGAGTTGAGAGTCTGTAGGAATACTATTTTTACTCACCAATATCTGTTTAATCTATTGTAGTGAGAAAAAATAAACATAAATTACCGAATTAGCACTTTAATACATATGGCCTTTAACTAAATGTTGAAGATTAACATATGTCCTTTACATACTCAGTAAATTATCTCACCTAAATGTGTGACCTTTGAATTGAAAATTTGTCTCTACTATTCCAGTCGTTGAAATGCGTGATCGCAAAATATCTTGCTCTGTTGGGATGTAGTGAGGTGCTGATATACGTTCAACGGAAGTCATGAAACTGAAATACATGAAACAATGCGATAAAGCAATAGCAAAACCTATCTAATATGGGCGCTACTGGGACTAGCCAACGGTGTTCATGAAAGTCATGAAACTGAAATACATGAAACAATGCGATAAAGCAATAGCAAAACCTATCTAATATGAGCGCTACTGGGACTAGCCAACGGTGTTCATGAAAGTCATGAAACTGAAATACATGAAACAATGCGATAAAGCAATAGCAAAACCTATCTAATATGAGCGTTACTGAGACCAACGGTGTTCAGATTGGCAGGTAGTGTTCACATTAGGAAGTCATTTAAACATGGAAATCAACGTCAGGTTAAAAGTGGGACCAAATATTTAGGTGATCACAAGAAGAGGTGATCACATAGAGAGGTGAACACATCGAGAGGTGAATACATTGAGAAGTGATTTTGTTATAGAGGTTAAAGGCAAGAACTAGGATATAAACTTTTCTTGCAGGGATAATTAGCACCATCTTGGCCATTACATATACATGCACTTACTATTCTGTGGAGTCGTCTAATTGGTATTCATTGGATCTCTGGAAACACTTTTGGACACCTTTATCTGTCCATAGGTTGCGAATAGCGTTGCCTATCTCAGGGGTCATGTCCATATGTCCCCTGTTAATCGGGTCACATAGCATCTCTACGCTCTCAGCATCACGCTATTGAAAATAAAATTCAACATTTTTTTCGTTATCATTTTAAAATGATCAGAGGCTTGCAGTTCAAAGTAATATTATTCCTGTTACTATATTCATCTTACATTAGTCGTATTACTTTATTCATCTTATATTGTTCGTATGGCTGTATTCACCATATATTATTCATATGACTATATTCATCTTATATTATTTATATTACTATATTCATCTTGTATGAGTCGTATTACTATATTCATCTTATATTATTCATATTACTATATTCATATTATATTATTCATATTATTATATTCATCTTGCATTAGTCATATCACTATATTCATCTAATATTATTCATATTACTATATTCATCTTATATTATTCATATAACTATATTCATATTATATTATTCATATTACTATATTCATCTTATATTATTCATACTACTATATTCATTTTATATTATTCATATTATTATATTCATCTTATATTAATCATATTACTATATTCATATTATATTAATCATATTACTATATTCATTATGTATTATCCATATTACTTTATTCATCTTATATTATTTATATTACTATATTCATATTATATTATTCATATTACTGTATTTATATAATATTATTCATATTATTATATTCATCTTATATTAATCATATAACTGTATTCATATAATATTCATCTTACATGTCTTATTGTATCTTATTAGTAAAAAAATCAATATATATCCTTTTAAGTGCCATTTTATGCCATCATACTTCGACCATTTTGAAAATAAATTGTCAATAAACAAGACATCTCCTCCGATCCTATATTGTAACTGGGGCCAGTCTTACCTTATATTGTGGATCCTCTAACTCTATTTCCAGGTTCTCCATTGCATCTAGGATGTTGTAAATTGCTTGAATTGTGTTACTATAAATTAATGACTTCATGTGGATCAACTCATCTTCACTGAAACCGTTGTGGTGTAGTATTCTGTAAATAAAATGAAGATTTGAAGTACCAAGATATTATGATGTAGAATTCCTAAAGGGTATACAGATTTGAAGTACCGGGATATTGTGATATAGAATTCTGTACAAGAAGTACAGATTTGAAGTACCAAGATATTATGATGTAGGATTCCGTAAAAGAAATACGGGCGTTCCGTTTTAGGTTTTTAAAGTATTCACATTGAATGGCGTTCAGATAAGAGATATGTTCAGATATACAGACTTTGTTTTACCAAGATATTATAATGAATGATTTGTTAAATTATTAAAGTGTATATAAGGTCAGAAAAAACTAAATTTAAATTTTAAATTGCAGATCTTGAATTCAGGGGGGATATATTAATTTCTAAAGATTGTTGACCATATTTGTAAATAACAGTATTTAAATCTTGAAGAAAGTTCATCCGGTGAACAAATAATTATCATATAGTTACATGTCTATTTTAAATAATTATCATGTACGAGTAGTTACATGTCTATTTTAAATAATTATCATATATTGGAAAATAGTGTTGCAAAATAGAAAATACCATTTAAAGGAATGCTCAAGCCAAATATTTTTTACTTTGCAAAGTTTGGATATGCGACTGCAATATATTTGAGTCTATTGAAAGGAAAATCAAACAAACATTGTGTATTGTAAGATGGTATTTATATGTATTAGTCCTATTTCAAGACCCTGGCTTGTGGCTTCCCATCCCCTTATGCACTACAACAATAGGGTCTTGTAACCAGTGCCTTACGGAACAGATGATTCCCCTTGGTTCACCGGTCCTGGAAAAGGGTTTTATTGATTTTATAACATGGGGACTATTTGAGACATCAAACTTGCTTTTTCGTAACAGTTTTTATTTTGAGCAATATTTATTTCCTATTTCTTGTTTTGCCTTATATTTTGGTCGATGGAGTGAAATTCATAATTGCAGCTAAACCCTAATGCATATCTTTATAGTATTTTTCAACGCTATCTTAAAACCCAAAAAATCTATTCGCAAATAATGAATATTTATGGGCTTAGTGCTGCTATAGAGAAAAAAGAACAATACTCTTACATTAAATAAATAGTAAAACATAGGTAAAAATAGCTCTAAATTGAACGTTAGTCAGATGTATATGAGCTAAGGAAAGCATTTGATAGCAGTAACGGATCAGATGCATTAGCTACTAATTATAAGTAATATACCAGCAGAATTTTAATCAAAATTCAGAGAATGATTTTTACCTAAGTATATTGTATTCAATAGATAACATCTTAAAGGTACATGTACCATAAAACGTTGTGTGGGTTTAAAGGTGCAACAATTAGTGCAGAGGGGCCATTCGACGATCATGAACCAGTGTCAAAATATATTTAAGTTTGAATATTTCATCAAGACAATATTTTTATTATTTACAAAGAAACCCCTGAGATAAACATTATTTCAGCTGACATTCCTCTTGAAACATGGTGAATCTCAAAAATATATAAGTGGATTTCCCCTTTTTGAAGCTTTGAACTGAATTTATACTTCATAATGCCGAAATTGATAGAGTAAGAAAATAGGTATGTCAACGAAGATGTTAAGCAAAATGTTGACTTGATAGCTCAGAAAAAGTTTCTCTCTCTAGGCCTTAATTGTTGCCCCTTTATTTAAACCAAAATTAAAGGTACCATGAAACGTTTGGAGTGTTTTATCACCCAAGGAGTCTGTTATGACTTTTGAAAAAAAGAGGTTGGTCATTTTATTTTCCAATATTTAATACCTGTCATTATAGCAACAAAAGAAGCTGAGATTTCTAGATCATATACACTTAAACACGTAATGTTCTCTACTCCATCTGGGCTTATTTAGTTCTCTCCTATTTTTCAACCAATTTTTCTTACACAAGCAAAAGTGTAAACTATGCACGAGACCTTTAACTTTGAAGATTATTTTCCAAACTTTGGATCTAAAAATGGTAAAAAATTATGAGTGGGCCATCCACACCGCTTGTTTAGAAGTAGCACATTTTTGTTTAATGTTTCCCATTTTGTATAAAATCACACAGACACCTTTCAACTTTCAAAATGCAAATATAATTTGCAAGGTCATCTCGTTCTTGATAAATGAATGCTGTTTACGCTGTGAAACAGCTGCAATTTCAAATAATTTGCTTTGGAGAGTATTATTGCTTGATGTGTCGCTATAGAACTATCGCTACACAGAACGAACTACGTGCCTACATGTAATTACACAATTTCCTTTTTATTAGGGAACCTGTTCAGGTAATTTCGTTAGTTTGTCATAACTGTATACACTGTATAACTGTATAATTGTATAACTGTATACACTGTATACACTGTATAACTGCTTATACTGTATGTACTTACTTCATTTGCTTTGAAAATGTACTTTTTCCAGAATCGCTTGCACCTGAAAATAGAATATGACTTTTTTGTTTTATACTAATCTAGGCCTATATCCGTAAAAATTACACTCAAACTAAAATTCGATAATTAATCATAGGCTGAGTAGTGAAATACAGAGTGTCCAAAATGTCTCTTCACAAAAAGTGATTTTGATTCTGTTCTGACATTCAACAATTAGAAAATGCCGACATGATTTTAACAAAACTGTTTAACATGTATGTGTTCTATCATAGCATGTGAAAATTTCATTCAAAACCACTTTTGTGAGTCACCCTATAAAACCAAAAGAATTTGAAAATATGGATGTGTTTTTGATGAAATACCTTTATATAAAATTGCTTATTTCTTATTTAGGTTTGAACTTAAAAAATAATGATTTTCATAGTACCTTTAATAACTGCAGCATTTGGTGAACAAATATCAAAAATTAATTTTAATCGTTTCAGAGTTAAAATAAAAATTAATTTAAATTAAAAATAAAATAAAAAATTAAGAAATTAAAAGACATATCCTGCTGTTTCTTCGTCGAATACGACTTTTATCATTAACTTGTAATTACTATATGCCTAACTTACCTAATATTAAGAGTTTCATTGTCCTTCTTTCTAACGCGTGTTCCGCTTTCAACATATCATTAATCTGTCGATTAATAAGGCACGACATCTTATGATCAAGGCATTTCCCGCCATTGTTCATGCTAACCGATACACTCACTGAGCTACCCATTGTTCAGCTTATTAGAAAATATTTCTATGTTTAATATAATATGTTAGTCCTTCCATGTGACTTGTTCTTTGATGCCGTTTATATGTGTAACGGCTGTGTTATATACTTCTATGTATGGGCCTACAATATGATAAGATTCCCAAGTACAATCTGATGAGTGAAACAGAGTGTATCCAGGTTTTATAACGAACTTATTACGTCATGACAGAGTGATTTAATAAATGTTAAACGTGTATATGTATACATCATTACATAACCAAGCGTCTCATCAAAATTTACAGAAAATATTATCATTTCAGATATATTTTCAATTGAAACTATGGAAACTAATGGAAACTAATTTCCCTCAATCTTTGTCTTACTTAATCACGTTTTCCTTACCTATGTAAATACGATTAACTAATTTATTTTAGCCTCACTTATGGCTGACCTATCCACTTTTGCCTCACTTATTTACTTTCTCATCTCTTTTATGTGCTGTTGCCACTCTTGTGTATTTTTCCTCTCTTTTATGTACTGTATGCTCACTTATGTACTTTTGCCTCTCTGTTATGTACTGTTGCCTCGCTTATGTACTTTTTATTCTCCCATTGTTTGTAATGTTGCCTCTCTTATGTACTTTTTCCTCTATATTATGTACTGTTGCCTCTCTTATGTACTTTTTCCTCTCTATTATGTACTGTTGCCTCTCGTATGTAGATTTTCCTCTTTATTATGTACTGTTGCCTCTCTTATGTAATTTTTCATCTCCTTTGTGTACTATTGCCTTACTTATGTACTTTTTCCTCTCACTTATGTACTTTTGCCTCTCTGTTATGTACTGTTGCCTCGCTTATGTACTTTTTCCTCCCTTTTATGTAGTGTTGCCTCTCTTATGTAATTTTTCCTCTTTATTATGTTATGTTGCCTCTCTTATGTACTCTTTCCTCTCTATTATGTACTTTTGCCTCTTAAATGTACTTTATCCACTCTATTATTTACTGTTGCCTCTCTTATGTACTTTTTCCTCTCCTTTGTGTACTATTGCCTCAATTATGTATTTTTTCCTCTCATTTATGGACTTTTGCCTCTCTTATGTACCTTTTCCTCTTTATTATGTAATGTTGCCTCTCTTATGTACTTTTCCTCTCTATTATGTACTGTTGTCTCTCTTATGTAGTTTTCCTCTCTATTATGTACTATTGCTTCTCTTATGTACTTTTTCCTCTCCTTTGTGTACTATTGCCTCGCTTGTGTACTTTTTCCTCTTTATTATGTAATGTTGACTCTCTTATGTACTTTTCCCTCTCTATAATGTTATGTTGGCTCACTTATGTACTTTTTTCTCTCTAATATGTATTGTTGCCTCTCTTATGTACTTTTTTCTCTCTATTATGTACTGTTGCCTCTCTTATGTACTTTTTCCTCTCTTTTATGGACTGTTGCCTCTCTTATGTAGTTTTTCCTCTTTATTATGTAATGTTGCCTCTCTTATATACTGTGTCCTCTCTTTTATGGACTGTTGCCTCTATTATGTACTTTTTCGTCTTTATTATGTAATGTACTGTATGCTCACTTATGTACTTTTGCCTCTCTGTTATGTACTTTTGCCTCGCTTATGTACTTTTTCCTCTCCCATTGTTTGTAATGTTGCCTCTCTTATGTACTTTTTCCTCTCTATTATGTACTGTTGCCTCTCTTATGTACTTTTTCCTCTCTATTATGTACTGTTGCCTCTCGTATGTAGATTTTCCTCTTTCTTATGTACTGTTGCCTCTCTTATGTAATTTTTCATCTCCTTTGTGTACTATTGCCTTACTTATGTACTTTTTCCTCTCATTTATGGACTTTTAGCTCTCTTATGTACTTTTTCCTCTCTTTTATGGACTGTTGCCTCTCTTATGTAGTTTTTCCTTATGTATTTTTTCTTCTTTTTGTGTAATGTTGCCTTTCTCATGTACTTTTTCCTCTCTTTTATGGACTGTTGCCTCGCTTATGTAGTTTTTCCTTATGTAATTTTTCTTCTTTTTGTGTAATGTTGCCTTTCTCATGTATTTTTCCTCTCTTTTATGGACTGTTGCCTCGCTTATGCACTTTTACTTCACTTGTGTACTCTTGTCTCACTTAGCAATTTTGCTTCATTTATGACTTACTGTACAATTTTGCTTCATTTATATACGTTTGCCTCACTTGTGTACATTTGCTTCACTTATTCACTTCTGCCTCACTTTTCTCTAACCTATACACCTCGATCTAACGTATGCATATTTTCCTCATTTATGCAATATTGCCTCACTTATACACTGTCACATGTCTAAATTGTGTCTTACCTTTTCACTTCAGTTTCAGTTATGCCCTTTTTCGTTACTTGTGCCTCACATATACACATTTGCCTCACGTATGCAATTTTGTCTCACTTACACACAATTGCCTGACCCTTTGCCTTATCCTTTACCTACCAGCTCGCATTTCAGTTTGCACACTTACCTCGCTTATACACATTTGCCTCACTTATACACATTTGCCTCATTTATACACATTTGCCTCACTTATACACATTTGCCTCACTTATACACATTTGCCTCACTTATACACATTTGCCTCACTTATACACATTTGCCTCACTTATACACATTTGCCTCATTTATACATATTTCCCTCACTTATACACATTTGCCTCATTTATACACATTGGTCTCACTTATACACATTTGCCTCACTGAGACACATTTGCCTCATTTATACATATTTGCCTCACTTACACACGATTGCCTGACTTTTTGCCTTTTACTTTACCTACCGGCTCGCATTTCAGTTTTGCACACTTGCCTCGCTTATACACATTTGCCTCATCTATAGACACTTATTCACACTTGCCTCACTTTTCGCAGTTTCCTTTACCTATCAGCTCGCATTTCAGTTTTGCACATTTGCCTCACTTATACACATTTGCCTCACTTATACATATTTTCCTCACTTATACACATTTGCCTCACTTATACATACTTTCCTCACTTATACAAATGTTCCTAACTTATACATATTTTCCTCACTTATACATATTTTCCTCACTTATACACATTTGCCTCACTGATACACATTTGCCTCATGTATACACATTTGCCTCATTTATACACATTTGCCTCACTTATACACATTTGCCTCACTTATACATATTTTCCTCACTTATACACATTTACCTCACTTATACACATTTGTCTTACTTATACACATTTGCCTTACTTATACATATTTTCCTCACTTATACACATTTGCCTCACTTATACACATTTGCCTCACTTATACACATTTGCCTCACTTATACATATTTTCCTCACTTATACACATTTGCCTCACTTATACATATTTGCCTAACTTATACACATTTGCTTCACTTATACACATTTGCCTCATGTATACACATTTGCATCACTTATACACATTTGCCTCATTTATGCACATTGGTCTCACTTATACACATTTGCCTCACTGAGACACATTTGCCTCACTTATACACATTTGTCTTACTTAAACACATTTGCATCACGTACACACATTTGCCTCACGTATACACATTTGGCTCATTTACATATATTAGCCTCACTTATACATATTAGCCTCACTTATACACATTTGCCTCACTTATACACATTTGCCTCACTTATACACATTTGCCTCACGTATACACATTTGCCTCACTTATACACATTTGGCTCATTTACATATATTAGCCTCACTTATACATATTAGCCTCACTTATACACATTTGCCTCACTTACACATAGTAGCCTCACTTATACACATTTTCCTCACTTATACATATATGTCTCACTTATACACTTTAGTCTCACTTATACACATTTACCTCACTTATGCAAGAGGGGTGACACCCTCGAATTCACAGGTGAACCTATATCTCATTTTTCAAATCAACATTTAGTCACAAATGTAACTTTAATTTGTTATTTAAGACACCATTGTGTAACTGAAACATTATCAGCTCAAACCTAAACCCCGACATTGGACTTCAGATTATTTTTCCAATTAGTTTTCAGAAAATTCATGTTCTTATTTTTCATTTAATTCATGTTTTATATTACAATTCACTTATTAGTTCTGGAAACTCGACATTGGCTTATAGTTACTCTATCGAGCTGACAGAATTGTATAATGAACCAAGTATTGCGACAAAATACTTCTTGTATTTTCAAAAATAACATTTTACAACAAATGATGGGCATTGCAAGCAAAAAAGGTATTTTGTCCAGTAGGCATCAGCATATAACATTTGAACCAAGTCAGTCAACTGGGGTTAAGTAATTGCACGGATAGACGGATGGAGCAAACGAACAAACAGACCATTGAGGGATGGACGGACGGCGAATTTATATCTCTATCTAACTTCTTCACGAAAACATTACCTTTAAGGTCCGCACTCTATGGTCAAAGATTCCTAGCAACCACCTAGCAACGACATTAGAACTACTGAAATTTCATGGCTATTATATTTTGCTAATTTACGAAATTCGCTAAAAGCAACTGAAAACATCATTATTGCCACCCAAAAACTAAAATCCTTGTGACAGATATACAAATAGAATATCATGTAAACGCATGTAGATCAGTAGAATATAAGTTTGGCTATAGTATGTCAGATCTGCCAACCTCCCCTTTCTTACGGGAATTCGAATCTCCCGTATTTTTTTTGTTTTTCCGTAAAATTAACAAAACTCCCATACCGTTTTTTAAACTCCCGTATCGTCTTTCTCTTAAAACCTCCCATAAATCTTTATGTGAAATCTCCCGTATTTTGCTGGAATCTCTCGTATTTTATACGTATAAATGATGTATTATATATAAAGGATATTATAAAGGAATCTGACAAGTGTGTCACCTATATCATCGGAGTCGCACTAATCTCTAGTTTTGATAAAAAAGCTCCCGCAATAACTCCCTTTTTTCAAACATCCCCATCAAAAGTCAAAAACTACGACTTTTTATCGAATTTAGTGCAAAAACTA